TATATTTATATTTTGCGGTGGATTTTACAATATAATACAAATACTATATACAATTCAGGGAATTTCTGTTAAAGCCTTTCTCGATGTAAATTTCCTGCAGCTTCAGCTCTAAGGTTTCTCCTCTTTGCAGTCTAAAGTTTTAAGTTGTTAAACATTCGAATTTCAAGTCGAGTAATTCTTTGATGCCGCCATCGTGTCTTTATGGCGCATATTTGATAATCTCTCCAGAGAACTACTTGATAACTTGAATTCAACATATATGACCGAGTTCAACGCTAGGTACCTTAACAACGAATGATTTACTGGGTCATATAAGTTTGAACAATCCAAATTACGCTTACCTTTACTTGAAGCTACACAAACTTTGGTAAGTAGGCGACAAACAAGTTCCATTACATGATATCAAGGAATCAGTATCTTTGAGTTTGAATTGGGATTACTTTGAAATGGAAGATGCGTGGAATGTAGAAGGTAACTTGATCTCTCTCAAACAACACAAGTCAGGTTACGTCTATTTATAAAGGATTTTCCTAGAAATTTGCGTTATTGATCAAGCGCGAGGTTCAGATGGCTGGATATTGGTTGAGTTCTTTTTTTTTACGGTTGTATGGACCGAGACGAGGCTGTATCGGCGGAAGAAAAATCACGCTTTGGATACCGAGCAAAGGCAGCTCCCATCCGTATTTTCAATCTCTCACGAGAAAATTTATTCTCTCCTGCCCATCTTCCTCCATTATGCGCATGCTCCTCGCCGTTAGTCCGCCAATCAATAGCCTTTATGTAGCACCATAAACCTTTGTAGGCGTCTAAATTTAAAAAAATTCCATTTCACTGAAAATCGATGTCGTCCCTGTTGCTATTGTTACTAATTTTTTGCAGTGGTACTAAGTGGCCCAGGAAACAAGAGTGAATGATTCATTTTTAGGGTGGCTGAGGTTGTTGAAATCTAGATATTATTTTTTCTTTTTACCCAAAAACCGGATGAGGCATCAACATTTATAACAGGAAGGTTGCTTGCACTGCATATCACGAAGAAATAGGAGAAGATGCGCCAAAAAGTGATGGAAATGAATAAAAATCAAACTTATTTTATTTAAAAAGTGACCATCGGCGCGATCAGGGGGTTTAACTTTCTCATCAAAGTCATATCACACTTATCATGTAATAAGCAACCATAGCTGGGGTGTGTCAACACAAGCCGTGTGCGACCCGCTTTATTATGTCTTACAAGCAAATTACAGAAACTCTGAAAAGCTGACAATATTACAAGCAAACAACTAATAATACATTAAACGCACTGACCCTTATGCATACTCTTTATAAATATGTTTATGAAAAACGCACAGACTTATGTATATTCTGTGTAAATATGTATATGAAAAACTGACAGCCCTCACTCATTGGGTATTTAATCTTGAGGGCGCAGAGACGTTCGTAAGCCGCGAATGAATATCAATGAAAGCAGCGCAGTATATATACCGGCTCTCTGATAATAAAGCAATTGTAGCGACATACCATGCAAAACCCCACAAAATAGGTTACGTAACTCATGATAAATTAACATCTATTTGTATTAATACTTATCTGATGCTGTGTCCTGTGTCAAATGTCAATCAACATAGTCTGTTATTCGTTATTGCGCCTCTCACAAGCCGCGTGAGCACAACTAAACGTAAATTTTACAATCATATGTGTCATTAGATTTGCAAGAATCAGAAGCAAATTAAACGAGACTGAAACGGAAAACTTTTTCAGATTATTCAATTACGCTTCTTTTAAAGATCACTGTTGTAGCTGCACGATGATTTACGATCTAATGTAACGAACATTTTGCCAAATGGTCGCA